ACATGTGAACATGTGAACAAATGTTCACATGTTCACATGTGAACAAATGAACATGTGAACAGGTGAACATGTGAACAGATGAACAGGTGAACATGTGAACAAATGAACATGTGAACATGTGAACAAATGTTCACATGTTCACATGTGAACAAATGAACATGTGAACAGGTGAACATGTGAACAGATGAACATGTGAACATGTGAACAAATGAACATGTGAACATGTGAACAAATGTTCACATGTTCACATGTGAACAAATGAACATGTGAACAAATGAACATGTGAACATTTGAACATGTGAACAGATGAACATGTGAACATGTGAACAAATGAACATGTGAACATGTGAACAAATGTTCACATGTTCACATGTGAACAAATGAACATGTGAACAAATGAACATGTGAACATTTGAACATGTGAACAGATGAACATGTGAACATGTGAACAAATGAACAAATGTTCACATGTTCACATGTTCACATGTGAACAGGTGAAAATGTGAACAGGTGAACAGATGAACATGTGAACAGGTGAACAGATGAACAGGTGAACAGATGAACATGTGAACAGATGAACATGTGAACATGTGAACAGATGAACATGTGAACAGATGAACAGGTGAACAGATGAACATGTGAACAGATGAACATGTGAACATGTGAACAAATGTTCACATGTTCACATGTTCACATGTGAACAAATGAACATGTGAACAAATGAACATGTGAACATTTGAACATGTGAACAGATGAACATGTGAACATGTGAACAAATGAACAAATGTTCACATGTTCACATGTTCACATGTGAACAGGTGAAAATGTGAACAGGTGAACAGATGAACATGTGAACAGGTGAACAGATGAACATGTGAACAGATGAACATGTGAACATGTGAACAGGTGAACAGGTGAACATGTGAACAGGTGAAAATGTGAACAGGTGAACAGATGAACATGTGAACAGGTGAACAGATGAACATGTGAACATGTGAACAGATGAACATGTGAACAGATGAACATGTGAACAGGTGAACATGTGAACAGGTGAACATGTGAACAGGTGAACAGATGAACATGTGAACAGGTGAACAGATGAACATGTGAACAGGTGAACAGATGAACATGTGAACAGGTGAACAGATGAACAGGTGAACAGATG